CTCCTCGTTGATAATCTACCTAACTTGCCCCAATCTCTCTGCTGACCTCCAATCTCACATCTCCAACTGCCTTTCAGACTTCTCAAACTGGATGTCCAGTAGATATCCTAAATTCAAAATGTCCAAAACCAAACTCATTACATTTCCCCCAACCTCATCCTCAACTTTCCTATTATTATAAACTATGGCACTAGTATACTTCCAGTCCATCAGGGTCATAACCTCGGATGTCATTCTTGACTTTTCACTCTCATCTTCCCCCCACCCCCATACCCCAAGCTGTTGCCAAGGCCTGTCAATTTCACTTTTGCAATATCTCTCCAATATGCCCCCTTCAGTCCTCTGACACTGACACTACACCAGCCCGCATCATCCCATAGCTGGACTATTGTATTAACCTGTTGGTAGGTTTTTGCCTGTGCCTGCCTCAAGTCTCTCTCTACTCCAATCTATCCTTCATTTAATCAACAGTGATTTTTCCTAAAGTACAGGTCCAACCATGTCACCTCTCTATTTGACAAACTCCAGTGCTTCCTATTACCTCCAGGATAAAATACAAAATGTTCTGTTCTTGAGTCCAGGCAGTTTCTCTAGCTGTCCTTTATGCCTAAGATGTTTTCCCTCCTCATCTCTGCCTACTGGCTTCCCTTGCTTCTTTTAAATGCCAATTAAAATCTCATCATCTATAGGAAGCCTTTTCCCAACCCCTCAACTCTAGTGACTGCCTTCTTTTAATTATATATTAATCTTGTAGGCAACTAGGTGGCTCAGTAGATAGAGCATCGGGCCTGCAGTCAAGAAGACCTGAGTTCAAATCTAGCCTCAGACACTTATTAGCTGTATGATCCTGGGCAAGTCACAACCCTATTTACCCATTACCTCATCTGCAAAATGAAATGGCAAACCACTCCAACTCTGCCAAGAAAACCCCAAATGGCATCATCAAGAGTCAGACACAACTAAAATGACTGAACAACAGTTTATCTTGTATACAGCTTGTCTGTACGTGTTTTTGTTGTCTCCTCCACTAGATTCTGAGCTCCTTATGGGCACGGACTGTCTTTTGCCTCTTTTTGTATTCCCAGCTCTTAGCTCAGGCCTGGAATATTGCAGGAGCTTAATAAATGTTATTGACTGATTGACCAAAATATTTCTCAACAGACATTATTTTCATATACTGTATAAAGCAGCTCAGATCCACTTTTTTCCCCCAGTACATCACTGAATTTGTCCAGTCCCTTTAAAAAAAAAAAGGCACTCAGCCATTTTTACAGTGTTGGCTGATATTTAAGAAGGAGTAACTGAAACAGTCTATGGGGTATACTGTGAATGGAAAGTATACATCTTTACAGCTTGAAATCAATGTCATTAACACCCTATAGAAATGTCACACTGAATACTGATTTTAAAAATCCCTCCTGATCTATGTATATCTTTTAATTAAAGCTGCTGGCCACTACCGTACATCTTTCAAAATTATGCTGTTGTGCCCTTAGAAAGATATACCCTCTCCTCTGGAATCTACTCCATTTCTGATCTTGGTTCCTTGACTCAGCTGACGCTAAAGAAGAACTATTAAATTTGAAGTGCAAACTCTGTGTAACTCTACCGAATTAACTCAATTATCCATGTCAATAAAACAGAATATGGACACCAATCGTCAAGACCCACAGCTAACCGGCCCATTCAAGCTTTTTTCTAGCTGGTCATATCACTATCCCCATGTCTTGTTTTCCAAGGCAAGTTTTCTATTAGTAGTGAGTAAAGGCCATAGTCCCAAGGCAGTTGTCCACAGATTTCAGGGAGTGCTATCTGTCCCTCTTTCACTAACTTTTGAATTCTTCTGATAAATTCAATCCTCAAGAAATGAATACCATTTCTATAGAATAGTTAACAGCAATTAAAAAAAAAACCAATGTCTAACCAGTCTTGAGCCAATCTATTTCCCCCCCCCTTCCTCAAATTACCTTGTATTTACTTATCTGCATCCTATCCTAGAATGTAATCTCCTTGAGGGCAAGGATCACGTTTTCATGTTTGTCTGTGCATCTCCATTATTATCTATAAGCATTTATTAAACATTTACCACATGTGTCCAGCACTATGCTAAGCACTATAGATACAAAGAAAAACAAAAACAGGTCCCTGTACTCAAGAATCTCACATTCTAATGGGGAAGACAACATGTAAATAACTACGTACATGCAAGATAAATATACATAGTCATAGAAGATTAACCTCAGAGGGAAGGCAGTAGTTGTGAGGCCTGACCAGGGAAAGCCTCCTGAAGAAGGTGGGTTTTTGAATTGTGTCTCCAAGGAAGCCAAGAGTCAAAGGGAAGAAAGATGAACATTCTAGGCATGGGGAACATGCGGGGAAAAGGCACAAAGTCAGGAGATAGAGTGTCATGTGCAAGGAACAGCAATAAGACCAGTGATGCTAGATTGTAGTGTACACCAAAGGGAGTAAGACTGGAAAGTTAGAAGTGGCCAGGTTCCGAAGGGCTTTGAAACCAAACATACAACTTTATATTTGATCTTGAAGGTAATAAGGAGCCACTGAAGTTTACTGACGGGGTGGGGGGAGTGTAAAGGCAGACTAGGACTTTAGGAAGATTACTTTGGCAGCTGAATGCAGGATGGACTGGAGTGGAGAGATCTAGAGGCAGGGAAACTAATAAACTACTAGAAGTCTTGGCAAGAGGTGACAATGTCCTGTACCAGGGTAGTGCTTGCATAAGTGGAGAGGGATTGCAAATGAGGGTTGACACCAAGGTGACCCTTAGCACAATGTCTTGTACATAATGGGAACTAAATAAATGTGAATCAAGTGGCACAGTGGATAGAGTGCTGAGCCTAGAATCAGGAAGATTCATCTTCATGAGTTTAAATCCAGCCTCAGACAGACACTTACTAGCTGTGTGACCCTGGGCAAGTTACTTAACCCTTTTTGCCTCAGTTTCCTCATCTGTAAAATGAGCTGGAGAAGAAAATGGCAAACCACTCCAGTATCTTTGCCCCCCAAAAAAACCCCAAATGGGGTCCCAAAGAGTTGGAAATGGCTGAACGACAATAATTAAACCAACAAATCTGTTTGGACCAATGCTGATCAATAAAGGATGGCCCGGAAAGTACACTAAAACCTGAAAATGTGGCAGGCACTGATAATGTGCTCTAGTCAGACAGACCACATTCACTATATAATACCTTAGGACTGATTCACACCAGTGCTTCCTTTGCCTTCCTAGTACTATTTTTATTATGCATCTATTTGTTAATTTGCCACCAGATAATACTGTCACTAAGCAACTACTAGCTGAGTTTTTTCACCAACTAATTCACTACAGTTTTCTTCACTGAGCTCGAAAAATATTTGCTCGTGACTTAGTTACACCCCTGCGCCCGGCAAGTTTTAATAAAGTGATGAGGCTAAAAGATCATGGACTTCAGCAAACAAAATAACCTGACGACAAAAGCCTGCCTGACTCGGAGAGCAATGCTAAAGGACAAGCAAGAGGTCTAAATTTCATGTTAAAAAATCGGTTTTTTTCCCTCTAACAATTCACTTCAGTAACTATCTTTTCAAGCGGTAGCCCACTATTCTAAACAGCCAACATTTGAATATACAAAGCCAAACACCAAAACGGTATAGTCCATAAAATTCAAACAGCTAATTTCTACAAACCTACAAAAACTGGGCTAATGTGATGAACAGAATAGGAAGAAGTACCGGACCTAAGTGACTTAGCACAAAATATCCTGCACATAATAAGTATTTAATAAATGTTAATTAAACCAAAAGGAGATTCCCTCTACCAGAGCAAGTCAGTAACTTTTTTGCAATTTATAGACAGTAGCCTAGAGCACAAAGTGGTTAAGTGAATTCATTGCCCAATATCTGAAAAGACTTGGGTGGGTGGTCCCACCCAATCAATCAATAAACATTTATTATGCCCCTACTATGGCCAGCTCCCTAACCTCAGCACCACACTGCCTTCCGTGGATACCCTATTTAAAAGCTACTTACCCTAATAAAGACAAAATTGTATCTTCACACCGAAATACTGACCTACAATTACTCTAACTGGCAAACGAGTATTTAGCAACTAAATTAAGTAATCGTGCTTTGTGCTAAAAATAAGAAAACACAACCTAAAAGTACAGATGAAATAAGTAGGTAAACCATACTGTACATGGCAGATAGGTGCTGAACATGCTAAACGTGATTAGCACACCGGGAGGGCACGCTACTCCTCTCAATAGTTAAAAGAGAAAAAAAGAAGTTTTAATTGATCATTTCTCCCCCCTACACCCCTTTTGAAATCCTCGAGCCTCTCAAGCCGAACTCAAGAAAGTTGCACGTTCCGGTGGACAAACTGGAACCACCGAGCAGCTGTCATCTGAAACTCCTGAGAGCCGAGACCAGTCAACTCCGCAAAACAGGGGTGCGGAGAGGGGCGGCGGGGGCTACTCAGAGCTAAAAGCAGGGAGCTCCAACATCCCCCCAGCCCTCAATCCATTTTCTCCTGCCCGCGTGCCTCCGTCCCGTTCCTGAATAATTAAATCGGCTGGAGAGTGAATCGTCCCCAAACAAGGCAATGAAGAAAACAGGGGCCAGAAAGCAGCTAAGTCCGGACAGCAAGGGGAGATGGAGAGATCTTTTTTTGGAAGGGGGGAGGTCGTGTCGGTGAGCCAGGTGGGGGGTCTGGGGAACCAGGAGCCTGACGCTAGAGACCCCCTGCCTCAGGACTGGAAGAAGGCTCAAGGTGGGGAACAAAACCCACCCGCGCTGGAGGACCCCGGACCCGCAGTCAGTAACGGAGAGAGTCGGGGGGCCCCCGGCCGAGCCCAGGGCTGGAGCTGGGGGAGAAGGAGGGGCTGACGTGGGGGAGGGGAGGGGTGGGTGGCCCGGGACAGGCAGGGCAGCCCGCCCGCCCCGCTCCCCCGGGGCCTGCCCAGGGAACAATGGGGGGACTAGGCTGCCCCCTGCCGCTCACCTACCTCCGGTGCCCTCCGAGTTCTCGTTGAGGCTGCCCGAGGAGTCGTGCTGGGCGCCCACACACCCGCCCATGGGGGCGGCCTCGTCCGCCCGCCCGCCTGCCTCCTCCTCCTCCTCCGCCGCCGCCTCCTCCTCCTCTTCGGTCGCCGCCGCCGCCGCCGCCGCTGCAGCCGCCGCCGCCGAGGTCCGGTCAGGCGTGCTCGTGCTCGGCCTCCTCCGCCCCCCCCCACGCGCCGCGCCGCGCCCCGGCTCCGCTCCACCCACCGCCTTGGCTCGGCCCCTTCCTCGCCTCAGCCGCCCCCCAGCCCCCACCCCCCGGCTTCAGCCCCCGCCTCTCCGGCCCAGGCCCCCAACAGGCCCGCGCGCCCGCCGCCGGCGCCCCGACCCATGCCTGGCCGGAGCCCGAGCCCCCGCCCCCGCTGCCAGCCTCGCGCCTCCCTCACACGCAGCCCGAAGGCGGCCCCGCGAGTCGAGCTGGCCGGGGTCGGCCCCGCTCGCCCGGCCCCATCGGCCCCGCCTGGCTCGCGCGCCCGTCTGTCCGGCGGCCCGTCCGTCTGTCAGTCAGCCGGTCACCCCGCCCGCCCGCCTCGCGCCCGCCCTGCCCCGCCCTGCACCTGCCCCGCCCCGCCCCCAACCCGAGTCTGGCGGTATCGCCGGAGGAGGGAGGGGGCGTGGCCGCGGGAGGTCAGCGCTCTGATTGGCAGCCCGAGCAGAAGGAGAACGGAATGAGGGGAAGCGGGCAAGGCCAAGAGAACGCGAGGAGGAGAGGGGAAAGGGGTCGGTCGGAGGTGAGGCTGTCAGGCCCCTCCCCTGAAGGGTAGTTGCAAGGCTCTCGCATTCCTCCATTCGTCCTTCCGGGGTGAAGGGTGTCTGGGAGACAGAGCAACGGTGGAGGAGTGAGAAGCAGAGGGAGACTGATTTCTCCCTAGAAACTGGGCTGGCTAAACGAAGCTTCCCCTCCTCCCTCCTCCCTCCTCCCTCCACCCTTCCCCCCCAACCCCCGTGCCCCGTAATGCAGAGTGGGGTCTTTTTTGAACTAAGGGCATGTGCCGAGCTAAGTCAGAGTTTGTGTCTGTATGCAGTTTGTGTGTCTTAAGAAAAAATCAATAGGTACTCTCATTTCCCAGTGGTCAAGGGGAGAAGAAGATAGAAAGGAATGTCGCTGGCTCGACTGAGGCTGATGAGTGCTTTTAGTGCAATTCTTTTTTGCGGCCTGATTTCATCCTGCTAATCCACTATGAGCCTACTTTATTGTCCATCGGGAGTGCTGTGTGCTGATTGACCGCGTGCAATAGCCTCACTATCCAAATGCATGCCATGGTCTGGACAATAGGCATTCCTCATCCACTTGGTTTTCCCCGTGTGGATAGATAGGTGAATCTGTTTTTTCCCTTAGTTTTAAGAGTTAGGTTGCATTTTCATTTGCATCAGCAACTCTGAGCTTTTGAGCCAAACTCATGCCTGTGTTTTAAACATCAAAATTCTACTGATACCATATGCTTGCAAATCATGCAATACCACCGTCTCTAAGGAATAAAATCAACATGATGGGTTGTAGTTTATTGAAAACAAATAAATTTGAAGATTAAAGAACAGCATAGAAGATATCAAAGAGCCTGGGAAAGGCGTTGGGACGATCATGTGACAAAAGTGAAAGTGAATATGTTGGACAGTTCCTCGCTTCCCTGGTAACCTAGAGAAAGATACCCAGGATAAACTCTTGCGAATGGCTGTCAGACTCATGTCTTTCTCTTGACTCTCTTTCGTTGTTCAGTCATTTTCAGTCGTGTCTGACTTTACCTGAACCCATTTGGGTTGTTGGGTTTTTTTGGTTTGTTTGTTTGTTTTTTTGGCAAAGATACTGGAGTGGTTTGCCATTTTTACAGATGAAGAGACTGAGGCAAACAGGGTTAAGAGGACTTGCCCAGGATCATTCAGCTAGTTAAGTATAGGAGGCTAGATTTTTAACTCAGGAAGGTGAGTCTTCCTGCCTCCCCAACTCTAATCTACTTTACCCCCTAGCTATCCTTGACTCTCTTTACTATAGCGGAAAATTATTATTCTATAGTAAGAAGACCCGGGTTCAGATTCTACTCCTGAACTTGGGCAAGTTACAACCTCCCTGGAACTCTGTTTCCTCTTATGTAAAATTAGAGAGTTGAGCTTCATGGCCTCCTGGTTCTCTTCCAGCTGCAGGTCTGGGTTCTGATCAGTAATAAAAGATCAGAAGGTGTAGTACCATTGGAGAAAGTACCTACATCAGTGAGAAATCATGGCAGTGAAGTAATTCCTTTTTCAATTGTTAAACTTTTCTGTTTTTATAAGGAACTTGATTTTTCACAGATCTGACTCTTGCCTGTACCTAAAATTCACCTAGAACTGAATAAGGGAAAGGAATAAGTATTTATATTTAAATATAACACATACATTATATATATACATATATACACATATACATATATATATATACACACACTCTCCTTTGCAACCATATAACCGATGAAGCACCAAACCCTGTCCCTTTCTATCTCCCACATATCTCTCCCAAACACCCCCTCTCTCCACTGATAGAGCCTCCATCCTAGCTCAGTCCGTTATCACGTCATTACTTCTCACTTAGACTATTCCAAAAGCATCCCATTTGGCTATCCTCCGAGTCTCTTTCTATTCCAATTCATGTTCCATATAGCTGCCAAAATGATTTTCTTATAACTTAGGTCTCCTCACCCCACCCCACACACCCCTCAATAAAATCTAGTGGTTCCCTATTATGCTAGAATTAAATATAAGGCCCTCTTTTTGACATTTAAAGCTCTTCACTGCCTCTCCATTGTTTTTACATATTACTATCTTCCATATACTCTGTGGCCCAGCCGTATTGATCGTTTGCTGTTTTTTCATTCCCCTCCATCTCTTTTCTCTCTGCTCTCCTTCATGCCTGGGGTGCTCTCCCTCTGTAGGGAATCTCTTGGAATCCCTGGTTTCTTTCAAGAACCAGTACAAATGCTGCCTTTTCCAAGAGAACTTTTCTGATCCCCTCTGCATCCCCCAGCTGCTAAGTAGCCTTTCTATGCAAGATTATCTTTTGTCTGCTTTGTATGTATGTCATACATATACTTATATGTGTATCTAACATTAAGAAATACTCCTGGGCCCAGAGAGCTGAAGCTATGCATCCACTCTACCTCCCTAAGGGGCCAGTCTGCTCTTGATCCAGGCAAACTGACCTACTTCAATCCTGGGGGAGCCTGGTTTCTAATGAGGCTAGACTCCATTTTCACAGTTTTTGACTTGTTTCCCCTCCCCACCCTAGAACTCCAGGGACAAATTATTTAAACCTTAGATTTTGCCTCTCACATAGGTGTCCCTACAGCAGAGGAATAAAAAGATACTCAATGTGCAATGTAAATAAGGTATGAGACAGGTATTTTTTCCCTCCATACAAAAGAATTAATGTAAACAGATAAATTTACAGACAGAAAAACAGCCTGGAAGATATCTAAGACATGCAGGGAAAGGAGTTGGGACAATAATGTAGCAAGCATGAAAGAGAATATGTTGGACAGTTCAAATACTTCACCGGTAACCACACATTGTCAAGAAATCTAGAGAAAGAGACCCAGGACAGCCTAGACACAAACGTCTCACAGCACATATTACAGAATGACTTAAAGGATGCAATAATTTAATGTATCACTACTGGTACAATCTGCTGGCAGACTGATACTTAAGCAGTTTGCAGGATTATTAATTATTTTCCATTTCTCTTCAGCTCTGTATGTTTTTCTGTGAAGTCCGTGTCTTTTGTTAAGCCAAGAAAGGGAATGGGGCCTTCCTGTTCTTAATCTTCACCAATGCCGAAGCTTCCCTTGCTTCCAGTCACCTCCACCCGTTTACCTCAGGAGCTCTGGACTTCTCAAACTCATAAGATCACCTCCTCAAGAACAATGTTTGGTCACCTACTTAGGAAAGGTAACATAAGGCAGAAAAAGTAGCCAGGGCCCAGGTACAAGCTGGTCTATTTGAGTCCATGATCCATTGGCCAGAGAATGGGACAAAGAGCATCTAGCCCATCTCTCCAACCTCTACCCAAAGAGCGCCAATCCCCCCCCCCACAGGAGGGTCAGAGTAAGATGCATGAGTCAGAAGGTATTTCACTTCCTTAAAGGTTCATTGGGTTGTCTGTTCCTCCAGCTCAGCAACCACTGAAGAGATCACTTTGTCCTTTCGAAGAGCCTTTCTCTTTAAGCACTAAGAGTCGGTCTGTCAGATTATCCCCAGGTGCTGAAGTCAGTACCTGTAGCAGGCTAGAATAAAGAAGGGCAAATGAGTGCATTTTCCGTGAGACTGCTCTCTTCACACGCGTGTGTTGTCTTTCCTATTATAACATATGGTCTTTGAGGACCGAGATTGTTTGGCATTTTTCTTATATTCCTAACACAAAGCTTGACATATAATAAGAGATCACTAAGTTCCTGTTGGTTGATTAACCAATTTTGGTAATGTTGTTATTGACTCACTTATACCCTCTCTATTTCTTTTCAGCTCGATTCTGCATCTTCCAGTTATGATGTTTTTAAATTTTCACCATTATACTTGGGTTTCTAAAACTTCACCAAAAAACCATTTTAAACTGTATCCTCATTATTTTATGGAAAAAGTTATATGTGTATGTGTGTGTGTGTGTGTGTGTGCCTCTTGGATTAGCTTTTGTTCTTTGAGACATTAAAAATATTTCTGGATGAAAATCTTCAATAGAAGAGCCTGTGCCTTGTGGCCTGCGAATTCATCTTGTAATAGAGAGACTCCTCAAAAGAAGAGAAAATTTAATTTTTCTGAAGAATATTTAGCACCCTGAACTGTGATCATGAACACCTTGCAGAGATTGCAGCAAACTTTCATTTGCATTTCAAGAAAGCCTAAATATAATCTTAAATTATGTGAGTTTTTGTGAGAGAGCACTGAGAATTGAGAGCTATGTAACAAAGCCTTTGATTTGTTCATTCTCAACTCTGAATTCTTCGTAGAAAACAGAGATCATGTCCCTGAAGGAGAAGAGGCTCTATGCTGATTTTTCCCTGCAAGAATTTGCTTTGTCCTTAATTGCACTCTG